GCCCCCCCCCCCCCCCACGCGCCGAATGCCGACGTAGTCCCGCCAGAGGCGGTGAAGCTCGCCCTAGAACGGACACATTATTTGACCTTTACTTCTCTTTAAGTTGCTGCCACGTAAAGTTTGGTATTGCATATGAATAAAGATATATCACCCAGTAATCCATGACCAGGCGAAGTTACATTGAAATCACATTGCGTTCAGACGCAAATCGCGATGCGGGAAAACCGATTCGAAACCACCTCTAGAAGTGGTTTGGGATCGAGGCGCTTTCAATGTGATTTGGAGCGTTCAGATTGAGCCACTTGAAACCGGCTTCGGGGTAAACCACATGTGAAGCGCCTTCACTAACTTCATATGAACACGGCCAGAATTGCCCTGAGGAAGATGACAGACGGTCACCGAAACGTCGGCTGTGAATAAAATCCTGTGATCAATATATGATGTTTAGTCATATTGATATTCTCTTGGCTACAGATTATGACTAAAAAGATAATCTTCTGATTTATATACTACAAGAGACTGTTACATCTGAATCAAAAACACACACAGACTGAAATCTCTCTAACCTCATTGAACCAAGTGTCACATTGGGGTAAAGTGACCATACAGAGTAGAGCAAGTTGTGTACGAAAATGTTCTTTATTCCCACGACAACGACCTTCCCTGACAGAGTCTTCTGGTCATCCCCCTGTCCCCTGGTGTTCGCCTTCTTATATCCCCCCTGGTACATGTGGTTCTAATCTAATCTAAATATAGAAGGCTAGGCTTAGGGGACATCCCCCTAGCAACAAGGGACATCTGTGTCCCCAAAGACAATCTGTGTATCGGTAGTATCTGTGAACCGCCCCGTGACACAAGGACATTCTGATAGAACGATCGCGTTCTTGATTGAGCTAAAACCTTCTCGGCTAACTATAGGCGTTATCAAAGTTATACAAAAAAGAGCCACTGTTGAACGAAAACGTCATGTCTCGGACACATCCTTCAAGACTCGTTTAAGTACCAAAGATGTGGCATAGACGCTATGAAAACATGGTGTTGCCTTTACTTACCGTTGGCTTTACAGTTGGATGCACCTGTTCACGTGTCAGCTGTGTAGTGGTTGAACCGGTTAAGCGTCGGTCCCAATTGCGCCGGTGCCCGTCGGAGATATAGCCCCGGCCGGGCTCAGGAGTCGGGAGGGTACCGGCTGTCGTGGTCACAATTAAAAGTTCCCTTCAGTGGCATTTTTGTTGTAACTCTTTTCACCCTCATTGGTAGGACCCCGGCAGGTATCCGGCAGATGCTCTGACGATGTCTTGTAGTGACCCATGTAATACAGAGTCCATGCCTTTGTTGTAATAACCTGATCTGTGACGTAACACATTTGACCCAGTGTTACGAAGTACACACCTTTATTCTATGCATCTGGTCTGTGACGTAAGATAATTAGTCCCGGAGGACTGCCGGCAACCGAGGGGGTACCTGTCGGTGTTCTCACGATGAGGTCACGGCATATTTTTGTCAGCGGGGCCCGGGTAGAATTTAGGCAGAATTAAATTCTTCTCGGGTCCCCGCCGGGCCCAAAAATAGCCCGGTAGCCGCACGGTATCCCGCGGGGCCACGTAGGGGTCACGCCCGAAAGTACAAAAAAAAAAAAACAGCCCGGGAACTACCCACCAGGGCCCCTTTTTCCAATTGGGACCGAAGCTTTAACCGGTAACATTTCATCTCTGGGTCTAGCATAAACCAACGAAGATTCATCAAGGAACTTTCAGCACAGCAACCTGATATTGAAAAGACGACAGTACATTGCCCTGATATATGGGAAGTTCATACACTTTGTAAGGGTGTTTAGAGGCGATTGTTTCAACCCACCCGTGGAATCATCTGATCGGTCCCTTCCTTTTCGATTCATGACTGCTGCAAGACGTGTCATTTGTCCCACACCCTTACAGTCGAAAAGCCCGTTCAACCCGTGCTTCGTGGGGTCGTGTGGCGTAGCGGCAGAGTGCTCGACTCGTAACCTAGAGGTCCCGGGTTCGAGTCCTGACATGCCGCCGATCTTGTGCCCTTGGGAAAGGAACTTTACACGACTTTCCTCACTTCACTCAGGTGAAAATGAGTAGTGTATTGCCTTTTGGCGGCATTAATTAATATAAGTTTGAAAAACTTGAGTGTGCCGTCACCACGTCGTGTGATTACATGTTGGAAATTATTAAAAAACAGTGCTTGCTAACGATTAAATACGAAATTAGTAAAGTTTCCTAATGTTTCACATATTTCTTAGGGATGAGTGGGGAGACTGTAGCCTGGGTGCCATCACCCGAAAATTTTTGTTCGGGGTTGCCGTTACAAATCGGATGGCACCCAGGCTAGCTATTCACCAGTTTCCCATCCCCAGAATGCAATGCGAAAATACGGGGGTAACCCTCATTTGCATAGGGCTGGAAGGCATCGGAATGATCCTGTTGACGTTAAACACGTGTTTTGAGGTGTCGGGGCATTTTATGCTCAACATTACCATGGGCCAAATCTGACAACAAATAGAGAATGAAGTTTTGATGTTCTTTGCAACATGAAACATGTGGTTTGTAACGTTCCAGCATCAGTATAGCGTTACCACTATAACGTTACAAACCACATATTCCCAAAAATTCATTCTCTATGGTATACATGTAACCAGCATTAATTAAGAAATGAACACTTTCAAGATCATTTTTTTTCAGGATACGTTAAAAACACCAACTTTCTTTTACTGTTTGCATGGCAATAAAAACAGAGTGCAGATACAGCAACAGTGCTAATTATTACAAGTAATATATTTTTCAAACAATAGAAACATAGAATCAGTAGCTGTCTTCTCTGTATAAACATATTAAAAGTTTAGTTTGATAATATCAATGTCAAACAAAAGAAGATTGGCTTTTTTTTTTCATTTACCGGTACTAGTAGCTCTATATAAATAGCTCAGCAGCTTAAAAAGATTTATATATAATATTCAAAGTTGCGTACAGCATATTATGTACAAAAGACACAAAGGAATTTCCAACCAGGAAGAAATTGATTCTTTTTGTCTACCTTGCATGTAAATTTCTCTCAAATTTTACAATGATAGATGTTATACTACACGCCAGGATAGTTTTCCTGTATGCACAGTTAACACATACAGTCCAGAAGAGTTCCTGTGTATTGACACGACTGTGTGCTGTTCAGTACCGCTGTGCCGTTCAGTGTACTGACTGTGGACAACACGGGGTCCTGGTAAAGTAGACCTGGGAGGGGAGAGTAAATAACACAAAGAAGAACTTTACTGACATGTAACAAAATAGCCTGGTATCCAGTCTTACGTGATTGGGGGTATTGGGGTGTTCAGGCAGGCTGTGTCTTCCCCCGCCCAGTGCAACAGACCGTCCCGGTAGGAGAGTTACGCTAATAAGAGACCGTATGCTTTGGGATTGGGTTTACCCCATCATCAATCTCTCGTGAAATACACACCGGGAAACCTATGTGAGGCGGGCGGGACAGAGCTCTTCTGGCCCCGACCACGAATTAGACTGGATACCAGGCTAGTAACAAAAGTGCATCGTAATGACATCGATACTGAATTGATATAACAACTACCATACATAATACATGTTATGGGTGCGTTAATTTGGCCTAAAAAGAGCATGTTTTAAGCCTTTAAACGCGCTATTTCACGTATCTGCACCAAAATAATATTTGGACCTTGGAAATGCTTGGAAAGGCGTATTTTGGGAACACGCGTTTTAGAATAAGGTAAAACATTCCCGAGCTTATTCCATTATAAAAGGTTTGACCGTTTCCAAAATGACAAGTATCAAGTATCAAAACACCCAAAGAAACTGCCAATTTTGTAGTTTTGGTAAAAGTAGGAGACTAAGTTCATTTTACTGTAGATTACCCTTTGTATGGTGATAGATCTATAGTCATTCTTTTCAGATATATGTGTTAAGTAAATTCCCCCACTTTAGATATTTCAATATTACAGAAACGTTTAAATTCCTTGTAACCTTCGTGAAGCCAACTCATCATACTCTCGTGATAGCTAACTAATCATACGACCTCCTATATATTTCCATTACTAAGAAACGAGAGGAAGTCGAATGTACTAGAGTATAGAGATTTGCATATAAACGTTTCTGTATATGACTGTCAACATGTGACCTGTCTTAAGCTAAGGTCCCAATCGGGAAAAGGGGCCCTGGCGGGTAGTTACCGGGCTGTTTTTTACCACTTTCGGGCGGGACCCCGACGTGGCCCCGCGGGGCACCCTGCGGCTACCGGGCTATTTTTTGGCCCGTCGGGGCCCCGATAAGAATTTAATTCTGAGTTAAATTCTACCCAGGCCCCGCTGACAAAAAGACGCCGTGACCTCATCGTGAGAACACCGAGAGGTACCCCTCCGGTTGCCGGCATTCCACCGGGACACATTTCTTCCGTCACAAACCAGATGAACAGAATAAAGGTGTGTACTTCGTAAACCCGGGTAAAATGTGTGACCTCACAGATCAAATAATCACAACAAATACGTGAATTCTGCATTACGTATAGGTCAATACAAGACATCGTCAGAGAATCTGCTGGGTACCTGCCGGGTGCCTGCCGGATACCGACCAAAGAGGGTGACAAAATTTCTAACAAAATGCTACTGAAGGAAACTTTTAATTGTGACCACGACAGCCGATGCCCGCTCGACTCCTGAACCCGGCCGGGGCCAGCCGGGGCTACATCCCCGACGGGCACCGGCGTAATTGGGACCTTAGCTTTAGCCCAGTGGGGCAAAAATGTGTCTTAGTAAAGGTCTTCATTCAATACAAGAAAAGGTTTAAAGTTAAAACTTTTGTTCCAACACAAAACATTCTCTCACCTAGAGCTTTCGACCAGTCACTCTTCAAAGAAGCCACGTGACAAGCTTCACTGGGTCAGTCTACTGAGGAAGACCAGAGTGACTGGTCGAAAGCTCTAGGTGAGAGAATTTTTGTGTTTGGAACAAAAGTTTTAACTTAAAACATGTAATTACCAACACAGATGAACTTTCATGATAGTACAAGAAAAGGTGTCATCTCACCGGCCATGCAGGCGTTGAGTAGCCCGACCACGGCGCCGGTCAGCATGGATCTCAGGGCGAGGTCTGCCAGGTCCCCCCGCCGGGCCGGGGCCATGATCCCCATCCCTCCCAGCTGGATCCCCACACTGCCGAAGTTCGCGAAGCCGCACAGGGCGAAGGTGGCGATGGCTATTGAACGGGGGTGCTACGGGATGGTCATGATGGTATAGTTATCTTGGAAGTTCATCTCATCATCATCATTATTGTTCATCCTCCAAAGAGGTGGAGCAGACAAAGTTTGATCTCCAGAACTGCTTGTCGTTCATTGCTGAAATATTCCAGGCGCTCCAAGCTTGTTTCAGTTTCTATAATTTCATCTATGTTGGTAGAAGTCATTATGAAACAAGTTTGAACTGCTATTGTCAGCACAAGAAATTGAATGGCTTGGAGACGGGGGACGCCACAGACTTTCTGCAACCTATGATCCACTGCTGACGGAGTCACGTGTGTTATCTGCGTGACGTCACGAAAGCGGTAGATTGCTCATTCCTTAACAAAGACTGGAAAATTTGGGTAAGTCCAATTTCTTGTGCTGGCAATTGAATTGCAATTCAAACATGTTTCATATAATGAGTTATATAGTTGTTAGGGACATGGTTGCATACGTATCCTGAAAGTTCATTTATGTTGATAGACATCATTATGTAAGAAGTTTAAACTAATTTAAAACACAAAGAATAGGAAGTTACACAAATTTTCGACTGCACAACCAGTCTTTGTCAAGGAATGAGTTCTGGGTGAACTCCGAGTCAGACTTTTTTGCCCGAGGGATTAAAGAGGCCAATTCTACATCCAGGCACTACAACCCTCCCTCAACAAAGACGGGGGGCGCCACAGACTTTCTGCAATTTACGATCCACTGCTCTCCGAGTCACATCTGCATAACGTGACGTAACAAAGGCGGTCGATTGCTAATTATTTGACAAAGACTGGAATTGTAGAGTCGAAAATTTGGGTACGTCCAATTCTTTGTGCTGGAAATTACAGTTTAAACTTACGGCATAACTTATGAGTGTATGTGTGTGCGTACCTGGAGTGTTTTACCCGGTACTCGGCCCTTGATGATGTTACTCATGTCCACGTACGCCACAAACTCGTTCAGAAAGGTCTTAGTCCCGAACAGCTCGGCGACCACACGGCAGTCTTCCCATGGTACACCGGCCAGGAACGCCAGAGGCATGAACACGTACGAACAAATAGTCTGTAACAGGGAAACAAAACTTTCGAGTGCCACCAACTGAATTATTTGACTGGTGCTGAACCTTTTGGCTTACAGACTAAAAATCAAACGGGGTTTATCCAAGTCTGCATAATGTTTTTCTTCAAGTGGTCTAGTCTTAAAACTACTACTCAGTTTATTCGTAAACAAACAAATTCATATGTGTGGTAACCATCCATTTGCTACCTAATGCAATCCAACACCGCGGGGTGTCTGCTACAGCACCAGGCATCACACGGGTGACTAGTTCAGGTTACTGCATTATTGGCACACCGACCAAGAACGCCGGAGGCACGAACAAATAGTCTGTGAGTGTTACAGGGACAGAAGAAATACATAAGGTTTCAAGTGCTACCAACTGACTTGTTTCACGGGTCCTGGACCTTTTGGTCTAGCGGGTAGTGCATTGAATTGTTTGTCGTATCGATCCCCTATTGTAAACTGTCCGTCTAGTTATGCCCCTATTTCATTTTGAAGGAGGGGGTTACTTGGACAGTAACCTGCCGTGGGTAGCTACACGTCAACACTCTATCTTTCCGACAACGTTAAAAAAACTCTTAATTCTACGTGGTAGTTTGCTCAGCTCTCATAATATCAACTGTAAAATCATTAGCCACACAAGAATTAAGTCATCATAGCAACAAAAGTTTTTAGCTGTCCGTGTTCTTTATACTTTCTTGCAATGGGGAAGGGGACTCACGTTCATCAAAGCTATTGCTTTTATGTGTATTGTTTTTAGTAAGTTGTCAAACATTTCATTTTCAATGTACACTTAAGTTGCGACTAGAATATAAGCACAACTTGAGTAGGCCACCACTCTGTCTTCGTCCTTCCCTTTGTATTAATGTTTCTTTTAGGCCACATCAATTTCATTTGTTGCTTCACGAATTTTTTCTGAAAAAATATGAAGCGACAGGGAAAAAAAAAACAGTGCTAAGTATACTATTATAGCCCCAAATGTTACGATAGGAGCCATGTTGTCAACAAAAAGGGCTGGGTTAATATCTAAACAATGACGTTTGAACTTTTAATCAAACCACTGCATTGATAGATGGAAAAAATATGAGCATATTTGAGTTGATTCAGAACCAAAATTCTTTTTTTTTTTGCAAATCAGAAATAAATGAAGAGGCGAATCCGAGATCCAACAAATTAAATTGGTGTGGCCTTACTAAAAAAATTAAAACGCCTGATCATAAAAACAGCCACATGCCGCCCGTACCTGGAAGGTGAGGTCCTGTATGTTGACCATCCGGCCCAGCCAGGTGAGGACGGTGTTGATGAAGGCCAGGAGGGAGATGAAGGAGATGAGGTTCCCCACGATGTTCGCCACGATACTCACCCCCATACTGGCTCCTGCTGACGCCGCTTCCAGCAGGTTCCTGTCCTTCCTGAGAAATAACAGTCACAGATGTTAGCATGGAATAGCCTCCATAGCACGCCAAAAACTGGGGGTTTGGGGGTCTTCAAGGCAGCTTTTATGTGCTATTTTCTGATTGCATATACATGTAGACAACATATAGCCGGCCTGGTTGAATTACCCTCGTTTTTTGTTATGTAACTACCAACTTAGAAGAACTTCCATGCCTAGCCTCCGTAGCAGGCTTATAGATATATAACAAAACAGCCAAAAGACCACCAAACCCCCAGTTCTACAAGCCTGCTACGGAGGCTAGGCATGGAAGTTATTCTGAGTTGATAGTTACAAAGCGAAAAATTAAACTGTTCTCCATACCAACTCTTATTCTTGTTAGCCACACAGGATCTCATCATAACAACAAAACGTTTTTAGTTGTCCGTGTTTATACTTTCTTCCATATGCCTGGTTTATTGAACTTCCAAAAGGTATTACAGAAGCCCTTGACAGGGGGACTGGATTGCACTGATTTTTTTTTTTACAAAAGTACAGCTACTGTAACTACTTAGTGCACAAAAATCACAATCCACATAAACTCACTTACTACTTGTAAAATTTTAGGTTAAATATCACATTTAACTTGAGCAGAATTCTAGAGACCAATATAGTAGACAACGTGAGCAGGCCGCCGTTTTGTCTTCGTCCTTTCTATTAATTCTTGTTTCTTTGAATACAAAAAATCTCTCGTTCTTCATCAGCTATCTGGCCCAAGTACACGAGATTTTTCCGATCCCCATATGACGTCAGCATTGGGTCAAAGCTCATCGGAAAGCCGGTAACGTTCCCGTCTCAACCAACCGACATCGACGTGTCTACAGTACTTGGGTCAGACAGCCGGTGAAGAGCGACAGACTCGGTAAAAAAATCGAAGGGTCAAAATTCCTTGAGGCGGAGAACATTCTAATTTCTTCCGAAATGTCACAAATGTTACATTGTATACCAAAATTTACACAAGATTTATATGACCAGTAAGTGCTTTTTCTGGAGAACTAAAAATGGTGGATGTCGTCTGAAGCTCCTTAGAATAAATAGTAGTTGAGCATTGGAAAAATAGATTTGCAAAATACTTCTGAAAAGTTGACTCACGGTATCTCGACGTCTAGTCTGTCGTCCTTTTTGTTGCCATGGCGACGTGTGTCTGTCTCAGGGTAGACCAGTTTGGACAGGGCCAGGGACGTGGGAGCCGCCATCACGTTAGCGGTCAGGAGAAACGACGCGCTGCAACGGAGCATTGCAACATTTAATTATGCAAAGACTGGTATCCAGCCTTCCCCGCCGGCTTGAGCTAGGTTCCCCCGCGGTAGATTTTTCACGGCGGGAGTTTGATTAGGCCGGGCACGTGGTGGGGCAACTCCAGGCATGCCAAGCTTCTAGTATCTTAGCAAAGGGTCCTACCAGGCGGTCTACTGTACTGGGCAGGGGAAAAGTAATAGAGCCCCGAAGATGACCTGGCCCAAACACGATAGGCTGGAGCCGCTGGACAATTAAAGACCACCGCGTCTGCCAGGACCACACGGGCTTTCGGTCAAGGTACCTATATAGCTAGCGAAGCTTGGAGGGGCAAGGAGCTTGGAGTTGACCTAACATGGCGCTACTTTGCGACTTTATTTTCATCAAACTGTCAAGGATTTTATCTTGGGCGACTTGCCTTTGGGCACGATTTCGAAGTGCGCGGACCAGGTATGAGGTATGTGAATTACTTGGATCGCGGGTTTCCATTCTTAGGACCCTTTCCAACAAGAATAGAATAGTCCAGATCAATCTGAAAAGATTGGCTTTGAACATGCTTTGAGGTAGTTGCAATAGGGCTTCAATGTAAAGACGGCGTGATTGGGTTTGTGAAGCAGTTGTGTACACACGAATATGCCTTACCTAATTCCCAGTGACGTGAACGCGGCCAGGACGGACCCGGCGATGCTGGAGAACCCGGCAGTCATCACGGTAAACAGCTCCGAGTTCGTCATGGCCGGCAGGAACGGGCGGACCAACATGGCACAGTCAGTCTAACGGTAAGGACCAACCGACATGGCACAGTCAGTCTAACGGTAAGGACGGACCAGCATGGCACAGTCACTCTTACGGTAAGGACGGACCAACATGGCACAGTCAGTCTAACGGTAAGGACGGACCAACATGGCAGTCAGTCTAACGGTAAGGACGGACCAACATGGCACAGTCAGTCTAACGGTAAGGACGGACCAACATGGCAGTCAGTCTAACGGTAAGGACGGACCAACATGGCGCAGTCAGTCTAACGGTAAGGACGGACCAACATGGCAGTCAGTCTAACGGTAAGGACGGACCAACATGGCACATTCAGTCTAACGGTAAGGACGGACCAACATGGCAGTCAGTCTAACGGTAAGGACGGACCAACATGGCAGTCAGTCTAACGGTAAGGACGGACCAACATGGCACAGTCAGTCTAACGGTAAGGGGCTATGTTAAGGGGCATGCATTATGTCCGTTTTGTACCAAAAAATGAAATAGTATATTGAAAGAAATATTTCTAATGTTATATACCTCCTTGATAAGTAACTGCTTTTTGGAATAATATACGTCAACTTTTCAACAAATTTGTGCGATCATATTGTCTCAAATTCAGGTATAAATGTACGAGTGTAAAAACGAATTCAAATGCAAAACCGTTCATAACGGTCAACAGCGAACTGACCAATCCGAGGAAGATGCTGCCCGCAGCTGAGACGGCCTCCGGTCCCGTGATGCCTAGCGTGAGCTGCATGAGCCAGGCGAGTTTGTGGATGACGAACTGCATCCAGCCCAGGTGGTACAGCAGTGACGTCACTGTGGCGAAGAACACCACTGTTGGCATCACCTGTGTGGAGAAAATACGTCTTGAGTTAGCCTTGTTCCTCAGGGTTCGTTCCTCGGGCCTAGCATCTTCATCACATCCCGTACATGTATTTCTCCCACAATGTACATGTATGTGTCTTTTTTCCCTTTTAGGCCACACAGCCAACACAGCTACAGCCAAAATATTGAATTGACACTAGAACAACGTACACCTGCTGTCTAAGTAGCTCAGTCCATCCAGTGAAGTGTTTAGGGGTTAATAACAGGGCAATTTATGCCAAGGATCACACTGTTTGGGCAGATTTTACAAATATACATTCTTCTGTACTTCTGAGCAAAATTTTCCCAGTAAAAAATAGTTTTACAAAGTCCAACTAGAAAGGTACCATTTGCAAAGGAAATGAACAATGTTTACCTTCGCAAAGGTCTGCTATGTTAATTCTTACTCCAACACATTTATATGATTGGTCAGACAGGAGTCTAAATCCCTCCTGCTATAGAATTGCAACATGATGTAACCCAACACTAGTTACCATGTTGCCAGCCGTCTGGTTCCAGATCATTAACATTTTTGGTCTAGAGAAGTAGAGGAAGAAGAGGAAACTTTGGTAATCATAAAACTATATCGGTGTAAAAAATGCCTTTTCTACTCATGCCGGTTAGCTGACCCCTCCCCTAATGAGTAGTATTTAACTCACCTGGAAGGCGACGTTGTGGACCAGGTACGCCCTGGTCAGCGTCAGGTCAGTCAGGTTACCGGACGGACTGGTCACCACGGGAAGGTCACCGAACACGAACTGCGACCCTTCGTCAGCAAACTTGATGAAACCTTCGAACGTCTGACCCAGGAAGTTGAAGACCTGGTATCCTACCGAAGTTCTCAGGACGAAGAGACCGAGACAAAACTGCAGTGCGAGGCCCCACAGCACTGGCCTCCATCTCACCTGGGGTTGCAAATATAAAAATTAAAAAAAAAACTGTCAAAAATCTGGACCATAACTTGTTCAGAAAACGGGATATGAGATCTGGACGTTTTGCTGCAGTGCCAAGGGAAGTCCCTTCAAATGGCAGCTATATCTTTCTGAAACTAAGCGAGCGATTTAATAACTGATTTATAGTTCTGTATTAATTCATAATATCTTAATAGCTAAATTCTGTTTTCTTCTTACCTGGACCATACCCATGTTTTGCGATGTAATTTTTATTTTATGTCTAGTGGTGACGTGAGTACAAGTATATTGCTTGAGTGCGTCTCCCCTATATATTGTATTGTTTGCATGTTGAAATTTAAAAAAAAATGACTAAAAACCAAGATTACGGTAAGGCAAATAAAATAAAAGACTCTTCATTTTCATTTCTTTACATTTTCGGCATTTCCTTTGGAATTGATTTTGGCAATCTACGAAATTAGTACGACATTTCCAATTTTGTTTGTGTTCATTTTGCAGCTGCATGGTCAAAAACGTTTTGGAAATGGGCGAAAATTAATGAAATTCATGTGCTCACGGATGCCATCTGTATAATCAAATTAACATGGCCTAGGTTCATTAAAAAGTATGTTTCCTTAGAAGTTTTGGCAACGCCTCAGCAGTGGAGCCAATTGTACGCTATTCATTCTTTTCCCTGTGACATTTTGAAGAACCCTCTTAATTAATGTCTTTAAGGCAATTCGTGGAAGTGCGCCGGTGTACATAGTATCTCTTACCTGTGGAACACTCTTCCGCTACAGCAACGACAGCTCCTTAGTCTCAGGACTTTTAAACAGGTCATTAAGAACAGGACTTGATTTAGTTGATATCGGGTATGTTGTATTTTACTAATTGTTTATGTACTAGTATACTGTGAATTTGTTGTAAAGCCTGAAAAGCAGACCAAAATGGCCTGAGCTGGTAAAACAAATAAACTAAATTGAACCCTCACCTGACCAGGGTGTTTGGAACACACGAAGCAGATGAGGAGAATGATGACGTATCCCCCTATGGAAATGAGCTGGTCCGGTTGTTTGGCCGTTTCCAAACCCAGGAATAACCCGATACAAAGCAGAGCACCCAGGAACACCAACCTACAGACGAACAAACAAACACACTCAATAGTTTTGTCCTTCATTTGCAAACAGACATCCATATCAGGCAAAATGTTAACTCTTGGGCTCACAAGAAGATATATGTTGTTAAGTACTGTTGAAGAGAACAATCCTTAAAAAGAAAGTCACGTATTTTCCTCCAACATTGATGAGAGAGTGTTGAGTTAAGCGAGCTCATAGAAGATATACAGTAACCTTTATTGCAAATACATGCCCGATGGCTTATTGCAGGTACATGTATGAAAACATGTATGAAAAAATGATATTCTACAACATACGTTGTATTAGATTTGCTGGGTTTACTAAGTCTTCTAATTTGAGGGGAGGGCAAAACAAGTTGCCCTCCCTTTCACTTTGTGAAAAAATCAAAATAAACAAATATATAAATTTACCCACTTCTTTTATAACACGTGGGCTATCTGATTTTAGTAGTAAATTGTTTTCTTGGTAGGCAATAGTGGGAAAATAAGGAAGCATTTTCGACACGGTGATAAATAATTGGTTTCTGATATCGTCATAAAATGAACAATTAGTGATGAAATGATTTTCTTGCACTGCATTTGGTCTTTATACCAAATGTTCAATGATTTTTCTTCAATTTATTTGTGATAGACTCTCCAAGACTTACCACTTCAAGTATCTCCATGACGGTTTTACTGTCCTTACACACGGCTTCAAGTAGTTCTGTCTGATCTTCGGGCCCCACCTGTCCCGAACATGCGCGTACATCACGTACGCCAGCACCACTAAAGTCATGATGAGCAGCGCAAACGAACGGCAGAAGTTTAAAACCAGGCCAGAGATCAGAAATGCGAAGTACGATAGTATCAACAACCCCCAAAAGAGCCTTTTGATCGTCCTATTGTGGGTGGATAAGAAAGTTTTGCACCGTGCGATACAATTGGAGAAAACCTGCGTAAGTGCGTTCCCATATGCATGCGGTGGGTTGGTCCTTTCGTTCTTGACTTCCGTTTCCGTTTCTTCAAGGTCATGATGGTCCGTAGGGGTCAAGTTGGAGAGTTCTGTGACGTCAAATCCCACCTGTAGGTCATCCGACTGTGGCTTCTTGGACATGACTGTGTTTTGGTGACGTCAGTTCTGGAATAAATCAAAATCAAGTCAAACTTTATTGCACAACAATTGTAGCAGGTACACTACATATGCCATCTTCTTTAGACATACTATATATCAAACTAATTTCTACGCTAACGTTTCCAATAATGATTATGGGTTTTTAAACTAACTATCAAGACTACGCTAATGTCTACAGTAATAATGATGAGTTTTATATTATTAGGCTACAACAAGTTATTTTTATGAATGACATCAGGGCGCGCATTGATTTTCGCCTGATTTTGGAAAAAAAGAGATTTTTTTTTTGCCTTTAGTGGTCAACATGCCGAAAATGGGCAAAGATGTCTGTTGCCATGCCGGAACGTGGATGGCAGATAACTATCAGTGTTCGAAATACCTGTCTGCAGTCTGCAATCTGCAGATAGATTTTCAAGATTGCAGAAGAAAAATTTATACAATCTGCAATTTTGCAGAAGGAAAAATACTAGTAGGATCCAGATTCAATAGTTTTCAATTTAGCAAACTAGAACTCTCTGGCCCAAGGACAGACAACACTTAAGCTGTTTTGAAGCAACAGGAGCTTCTTCACTAATTTGCATCATCCTTGTCTTGACTTGTCTATCTTTTGTTTCCCTTTGGACTTCCAAAAATTTGTCTTCGCTAACTTGCATATGAATCATTAGTTCGTGCTTATTAACCTGCAATTCTCTTAGTGTCCCTGACGAAATGTAGTAGTCTGACCATTTCAGGTAGCACCAAAATCATATCGAGTTGCTTAAGAGTTAAGTACTGTTTTTTGGTGTGTCTTTTATTAGTATGTTGTGTGGAAGGATGATATGTGGGTGTGATTACTAGTACATTTACAGGTAAGGTATGATTTTAGTTGTAGTAGCTTGCAGTGGGAGACAGCGGTGAAAGACCCGTGAAGATACCAGTAAATGATAAATTTTCTGTGGAGAAGGATCTATAAAGTCTGAAATTAAATAGAGTGATACATTAAACTTAAAAGAATTCCAGCAATGCTACAGATTTACAAAGCTATATATGATGTAAAAAAAGACATTAATGGTTTGAGAAGGTTGTAATATGGAGACTTGTGTATTTGCAGAAAGTATTTTCAAATTGCAGAACAAAATTTTGACTCTTCTGCAATATTGCAGAGCACTGAAAAAAAGTATTTCGACCACTGACTATGAAGAGAGGAGACAAGAAAAAGGTCTGATTTAATGTTTTATAAATATATAGTTGCAGTGATGTGTGATGCTGGCTGTGTATATGCGCTGTTCCCATGCACTGAATCAAAACCATTTGTACAATGATTGAGTCAAAATTTTAAAATGTAGGAACCTTGTTTGTTTTTTTCGGCCCGCCTTGTTTTTTTTTCGCACGCTCGCGGAAGTCTGCGGAAGATGTCATCCATAAAATTTACATGCTGTGGCCTAATGGTATACTGTGCTTCAATCCAAGCTCAAGAATTAAGCTCCAAAGACGAAGCGGCCGACATAGGTTCCAGTAATGAAGGATACGATTTTCTCTTCTTGTGTCACTTCTTACGCCATATCCAGTTTAATTAGTTGGACTGACTGACCACTAATGATCATTGACCACTAAACCTATATCCAAATATTTATCCACCACACAGTACCTAACCTAGCGTCTATTCTATCACGGATGGGGCGTCTTTTGTGGACTACAGAAGCTCTTCCCCGCCCGACTGACCTAGGTTCCCCGGTACATTTTGCACGATGGTACCCTGGTGGTAGTTATAGCGCCGGCCAACTCCCCTCGGGCTCAACCCCGTAGCGGTAATTTAGGTAGGCGGGCGTAGTGCTCTTGGCTACCGAAGGAAACCGGCTAACGGTCTGATACTAGTCTGGTTTCTAGTAGGAGCCTCCCTAGAAACTCCCGGCGTACAAAACTCTATAATTTTCATGCGTAACACTCCCACCGGGCGGCCTGTTGAGCTGGACTAGGGAATACTATTCCCTAAAGGCAGCCTGCACCAACCACAACAGACTGTATCCCACAGAACCCCCTGCGCCAGACACTAGTGGTAGAGCCCGACAGGTTTCAGACCATTTGAGGGTGAAGGCGACGACATTATGTGCATGTTACGGGTGTTTCTAACGCCTATATTCCATCTACTGTCTAAGTCCTACTGTATGTAAAATCAACACGACTGGCACTCTTTCAATTGGACTTTGTGATTAACGTTATATCGATAAGCTAGCTTTGTTTATCTTTAACTCAGACTCAAGAGGTACTAACAGCTTTACCACGTTTCATGTCGTTCTTACGATAGCAGTGTTACGTCAGTATACGTCTGTGTGATGAACATGCCTTCTCTATTCTCGTGATATAATGATGCATACACAGTGAACGTACCTGTTCAAACCACTGCCGTGCTTGAAGTACGGCAGAAAACTTTAGCAGTCAGGCCTTCAATGGCGGTTGAGACACTCCCCTCTCCCCTCCCCAAACAAGCGCTGTTGTGACCTTTCAACTGTACACATGTGTTACGGCTTTGGAACGGCCCGGTGTCAAGCCAAATACATGATCCTGCCAAATACATGACTCCGACACTACTTGGGGGTTTCCAATATACTTAAGACAAGGGATGGGAGGGGTTAAGTCGTGATGTGGGAGACTAAACCTAACCTAAACCCCAATCGTAAGCTAGTCTAACCCTAACCCTAACCCTAACCCTAACCCTAAACCCTAACCCTAACCCTAGCCCTAAACACCTGACCTCTCACGTATGTGGCAGCTCAAGGATTTGGCTCAACACCGGGGCTCTCAAGGCCCCCGCTGTATGTGCGGTGTGATCTCCAAGCAGGCTAGCATCCATTGTAGTTTTTAGGGCTTGAATACCGAATTTTTTAAAATCAATTTTTCATATAGTCACTTATCTGTTGTTACCTTCGCCAAGAAGGTTATGTTTTCAGAGGCGTTCGTGTGTGTGTGTGTGTGTGTGTCTGTCTGTCTGTCTATAAACACGATAACTCGCGAAGGCTTAAATGGATTGTCTTCATACTTGGTAGGTGAGTAGGTCTTGATGAGACCTCAAAATGATTAGATTTTGGACCCCCTGGCGGCTCGGTTATGATATCTCATCTGGACGTGCTAGGGTTACAAAATTTGGATGGTAGGTAGGTCTTGTGCTGGGAAAGAAGTCACGTGAGTTTGGGTCCCTTAAAGGCTTGTTCTAGAACTGCAGGAGCATTTCTTTAAAAATATTCAAAAGAGGATAACTCAAGAACCGGTTGACGGATCGTCATGATTTTTGGATGTAATTTGCATAATTTATGAAGAAATTCTATAAAATCAGCTTGCGTTACATTATAGGACTATTTAAGCTTGTGATTTATTGAGAACAAGAGAAACACAGGTAGATATTGATTATGCAAATTAACACTTAATTTGCATAATGAATGCGAAAATGTTATAATTCCATAATGGCAACTGCCTGGAATTTCATACTTGGGGTATTTAAAAGTTAAGTAAAAGTGAACATTATTAAACATAACTTATTTAAATAAGGACCTCATTTGCATAATTTATGTGGAAATCCAAGAATGGCTTTCTTTGTTAAGATAAGTCTGTGTCTTTTGGTGGAGAATATGATCAACTGATATAATTCACGCAAATGAGGATCCTATATGCATAATCAGGAGGAATAATCTTTATTTTGTCAGTCATAAAGATTAACATCACTTGGCGAAGGTATGAGATCGTGAAACTCTAGTTGGTTGTACGTCGTATAAGTGACCCACCCTACTCCTTTAAAATGCATTTACAACATTGTTAATTGTTTCAAAGACTCCCATTACGGATAGTACATATATAAACATAGTAGTACATGTCTACTCTTTCTGGAGTCTTCAGTAGCATGTAACATACACATACCATTAAAAATGGACATACACATTATTATCACTATATCAAATTTGAGTATTGCTATTGTTCAATCCTATAATAAAAAAATTGCTGTTTTTATTTTACTATTTCTACCTTAACATGTCGCAGTGTTGAATAATAAATGACCAGTATCTTAACCACAGTCCCCTAAAGCAAGACTTGAATATACTTGGTCCCAAATATGGTGCAACAATAAACTTGTGTATGCACTGGATATTTCCAACAAGGAACTTCAGTATGGATAGAACATCGATAAGATAGCTTTTATTTATGATAACTCTCGTCAGCATGCAAAATATCAACATCAATCAACTCTATTTACATCAATCATCAATTAACTCTATTTACAGACATTGTCGTCTCAGCAATGCCAATCATCAATAAAACAGTTATCCTACATTCGGCTGGTTAACCCATTCAGTGGAAATAACTGCTACTTTGAAATTCAATTTGCATCAGATATGCCATTGATTGTCTGTGACTTTCCTTTGATTTTACCGGTTTCCTGTACATTTGAAGCAAGTCATCTTATTTACATCTATATTATTAACAATTCATCTATCAATCAATCAATCACTATCCATGGACAAAAGGTAAAATCAAAAGGTATTGCGTGGATGGAAACCTTGCAGATCAAATTTGTTAATAGCATAGTACAGCCGTATAATGTTTTTGCTAATGATTCATTGACAAGTGATCTTAAACCAGCTTGATATGGGGCTCAGTACTAGTAAAGCTCATATGTCCTTACTCGAATTACAAAGGCCAATTTTCATTCATTCATTCATTCATTCATTCATTCATTCATTCATTCATTCATTCATTCATTCATTCATTCATTCATTCATTCATTCATTCATTCATTCATTCATTCATTCATTCATTCATCCAGTCTGATCTACACCTGTGTCTCAGCTGTATGGGTCTGACCAAAACACTCGTTACCCTCATCACAGTTGCAGTAGTGCCGAGTGTTACGCGCCGGAGGCGCGGCGACCCTGGCCTCGCGAGCGGCCTTGGCATGCCTGTTCTTCCGCTGCCGTGCCGCCGCGGCCTTGCCTCGCCCCTTCTCCCCCATCATGGAGGAGGTCGCGCTGACGAACACGCCCGCCGTGAAGCTGAGCAGCAGGTACAGGATCGTGAAGCCGGACGAGAAGAGGAACAGCGGCCCCACCAACTCGCCTGGTGTGGCGAGGACGTCATAGCTCACCTCTCCCCACGGCAGGAACGTCAGGCCGACTGTGGCGGCTGACAGGGACCGGAAGGTCTCCACGTACGGGCAGAACAGGAGATAGCCTGTGAAGACAAAATATAGGAGAGAGCGAGGAGTGAGCAAGTGTCCACTAGCAACGGCCATCGAATGCTGGCATGTACATGTACGTAGATCACATCCGGTAGTAGGAATACAATGCCGACGGAAAGCTGAAGGGCCTGGTGACACTGATGCGTAAGGCTAAGAATAAAAATGGTAAAGGGACAGAAATGTGTTGTCTAGTCATGCTTTATTGGTTTACAACGCTTAATCAGGACTGGGTAGATGAAAGCCCTCGAGAAACCGCCGTCCACTCTTCACTACGGAATACTTTGAGAGAAAAATAAAGCACGAGTTCAAAACTATATATTGTAAAGGCTCTTAACAGTCCATCAACTCACCACCGAAAAGTTCCAAAATAAACTGCATGATCGCAAAACTTTAGTAGAGCGCTACGTACAGACCACCAACTCACCTAACATACTGAAGCCCGTGACGGTCAGGATGAAGATGGCCAGGCTGCCCAGCAGCTGCATGCGGATGTTGATGAGGGTATCTGGAAATGGAATACAAATAAGATACATCAGTCCACCGAGGCCCGCGTTGACATCATTGCTGCCGCTAACACACATGACTGCAAGCTCCGTATCAGTACTCACCGAGGTACGTGCGAACCCGGGCGCTGACCCTCAACAGGCTGCAGATTTTCACCAGGTTCAGCCAGATCACTATGGCGACGGCGACGGTGAACTGGTCACTCCAGAAGGCCACATCGGTCAGGTCCACGAAACTGCGTTGTTCTGAATTTGAAATATTACATAAAAAGCCAGGCTAAGGCATTCTATGGAATTTAAGTCATATCAATTAAAGCAGAAATGCAACAATTATTATGTAAGCATAGAATGTAGACGGCAAACTACGCACCCTTCTGCAGTTCTTGGCTGATGAGCGTCTTTGCTTTGCCCGCGGACGCGTCCTTTGACGCCATCGCCCCGATGACGTAGAGTGACGTCACGATCGACGCGACCTCCACGATGGTCCAGACCTGGAGGATGAAGGACCTTCCTTCCTTACGCGCGTTCTTCACCAGCCGGATGATGACGTACAGGAGGCAGGCGACGAACACTGCCTTGGCCACAAAAAGGATGGTGGGAGCCATGCCCTGCGCGGTCAGCGGGAATGTGGACACTCGGAGGGTCGCGATCGCCTCTGCTGACGGAGGGAACTCGAAAAGCACGCACACTGTGCTGAACAGATTCGCGTTTGCGTGGTACAGGGTCAGGTCCAACACGATAGCTGCCGTGTACGGGTCGATCCACCGGTTTGCCTTCAGGATCCTCAGCGTCTCCATCATCTCAGTTTGCATCTCGCCGAGGTTGACGCGGTAGCCAGGTCCACCGTACGAGCCCATCGTCCCGTGGACAACGTGACTGAATGTCGCAGGCGTCGACTCCGGGAAGGACGCGGCTGCCTCACCTGCTATCCCGCTGACGTATGGCATCACGCACGTCTTGTTGGCGTGAAGAGCCGGCTGTGGAACGTCGCACTTGCCTGAGAAAGCAAACAAAATATAAATTACTAACAAATCTAAACTATCCAACCCACACTTTTCTTGATTTCTAATTTATAGATTATTCCGTCCATTCACTCAAAGGAAACTTTTAATTGGTTTATGGACGTATTGATTGACTGATTGATTCTACCTGTGCGAGCCCTGATCTGCCGGAGGCGGACCGGTCCCACACGGTAGGCAGGCATGTCGCTGATGAACATACTGTCCCTCCAGTCCAGCGCGTCGCCGTTGTACTGCTGTGTCGGGTACAGCTTACGCGCGAAGGCACCTTCAAGCCAGGGCAGCACATCTCTCTGTGTCTTGACCTGCAACAAAAGGTGTTCGTTAGAGCAAAAGATGCTGCTCTAAATTGCTATATGCTTTCTGAAGCAAACATCTGAAAAAATCTAATCTGCCTCAGAACGTTTCCAAGACTACGATGATGAAGAGGAGACCACATTAAGACCAATGCAGGGAAGGGAATGCAATTGATGATCCTACCAGGTTGGTGCCGTTGGAGAACCCAGCTTTGAGCCGTTGGTTGATGGCAGGAGCGGAAGGACTCCACACCTCATGGACCATCAGGATGGCAGCAGTGATGATTATGATACCCAGAATGCACTGCCCGCCGTTGTTGGTCAGCTGCAGCCAGTTCTTCCTCTCAGCGCGCTGCTGTTTCAGCTGCTCTGTCTCCTTCAGCTCTGACCAGGCGGCCAGCGGCTCGGCGGGGAGGGTCTCTGCACAAAATGTGATCAAA